AAAAAAGAAGAAGAAAGAAGCTAACAGTTAGGGTGCCAATGGACTCAACCAGACCCGGGACCACACAAGATAGACCCGATGGGTACGGGTATGGGTCTACCTTTTGACCCGATGGGTCGAGTCTGGGTCCAAAACCTGGACCCAATCAGATGGGTACAAGTATGTGTCCAACTTTTGGACCTGACGGGTCGGGTTTGGGTACAAAACCTAGACCCAAATACTATTTGGGTCTGGGTGGTCCGGTTCCAGCCAGACCCAACCCATACCCGATCCATTGCTATGCATAGGTGGACCCAACTTGACCCAATCCGAAATCACGGGACCCGAACGCAACCCAAAAATTAAAATATCTATGTATTTAATTATATTTAAATATATTTCATAAATTTGGACCCAAAAAATATTACTGGGCTTAAACCCGATTGGGCCCGAATAGTGTTCAAGTCCAAGATTTGGAACCGGACCCGAATAGTGTTTAGGTCCAATAATTAAAATTAGCAACGATAAAAATCTTAAAAGTCTATAAAAGATGAAAAAAAGCATATAGAAAATGAATTATTGGAAAAATAGGTTTATTCCTTGCAATATTTCAAAAAAAATTAAAAAATGAAAATAAAAATTTAGAGCATAAAATAAGAAAAGCTAACAAATCATTTATAAAAATATAAAGAATCATCCCCCTTGGTAAGTTGCTGAAGCTGAGTTTTTCCTCTTTGCTTCTCGTTTAATTTTGAGCATTTCTGTCTAATAATTGCGTATTTAATGCTTGGAAATTCAGGGTCGGGATTGATATTCCAAAGATCGAAGTCCGATATGAGAACTTGTCCATTGAAGCTGATGCCTTTGTTGCGGGCCGGGCCCTTCCTACACTCCTTAATGCCACGATGAACACCCTTGAGGTACAATATTTAATGTTACTATCATCCGCCCCTGGGCCATAGTGCTGGCAATGGACCCCGACCCGACCTGGGACCCAAGGGGTAGACCTGATCCGGGTTTGGGTATGGGTCCAAAAATTGGATCCGATGGGTTGGGTTCACGACCAAATCTTGGACCCGAATACTATTCGAGTCCGGTCAAATCCGCGTCCAGGTTTGGTAAAATTTTTTGGGTCCTAATATATTAAATTTATTTAAATATAGTCAAATATACAAACCCGAATATAAATTCAATGGATTGTGAGTATTTCATAACACTTCGAAAAAATATAACACGATCCCTATAATAAAATTGACAACCATGACATGTGAGCTTGTAATAGTTCAATCAAGTGCTCTTGGTGATGGAGATAAAACGTACACATTAGTAGTTGAACTTGTAGAGTGGGACCCTTTTCTTCCATCACTGTCTAATCCGATTGATGGATGGCCACCACTAAGGTTGTAAAGTTATTATTTCCATGTCAATTATGCTACACACACATGGATTTTCCTTCGTGTGTTCTTGTACTGGGCAAGCTTTTTATGTTTCCCCTACAGCATAAAAGCACTATTTTTCTCTTTATCCCACCTTCCATTCTGAATGGAGGGTTAAGATTACCTAAATCATAATGTCTCGTCTCTACACTATTATATTTTTAGTTTGTTTTCTATAAACTATTTTGACACCAAATTTTGGATGTCCATTCTTCTATTAAACTAGCATTAGCAAAAAAATATAAAAAAATATTTTCAATAAAATAAAATGATCAAAATACCTCTGAAAGTTTTAAGAGGTATTTTGGTCATTATATTTTATCGAAAAAATATTTTTAATATTTTTTGTAGGTACGCCCTAATGAGAAGATGGCATGTACCAAATTTCATATTCATACAATTTATATAAAAAAGCTAAAAATAAAATATTTTGAGACGTCGAATCTAAGATCAAACAGTGAGTGGCTCTCTTAATCAAAATTGGACAACTGGATGGTAGGAGGATAGAACTTCTATGCTATAGGGGAAACATAAGAACCTTTCCCTTTTGCGCAAGCTAAGTGTGTTTATACAGTTTT